ACACATACATTCTCACATATATTATATATACATACATTCTTTCCTTAAGCACATAAAAACCTACACTGTTCTCTACCTTGTATTTTTTATTTTTTGCACTTGATGATTTATCCTGAAAAATCAGTCCATATCAGTACATGAAGTTTATTTTTAAAAATCTATGCATAATATGCTATCATATGGATGTACCATGGTTTCTTTAAGCAATATATTGGGCTTGTTTTTAGACTTTTTATTCCATTCTATTAATCTGGCAGTTAATACATTGCACTGGTACACAATGTTTCAACTGTAGTAGCTTTAAACATATTTTTATATGTGGTAGGGTTTGTTCCTACCTACTCCCAACCATTACAACTCTTTGTCCAATTTTTTTCTAGCTATTCTTGTTTATTTTTCCTTCTGAACTTTAGAATCACCTAGTCTGGTTCTAAAAAGCTCTTGTTGGATTTTTTACAGAGATTTCATTAAATTTGTAGATTATTTTAGAGAAAACTGATACTTTAAGATATTGAGTCTTCCTAACCCTGAACATGATATGCCTTTCCATTTGTTCAGATATTCGTTTTGTAGTCCTTAGTGATGTTTAAAGGTTTATATTTTTCACATAGATTTTGTACATTTCTTGTTAAGCTTTTTCCATGTTTAATATTTTTTATTGCTAGTAAAATGGAATATTTCCTTCCTTTGTATTTCCTAAGTGGTGGTTGTTTGCAGATACATATGGAGAATTATGACTTCTATATGTTAATATTAAACCCAGCCGCCTTACTGAATTCTCTTATCATTTATAATAGTTTTTTTCAGATTATTATCCTGTGTCTCTCAATTTTACGATTAATTCATCCCTGGTTCTAGAATGCCTCTGGGTTAATACTGCAAAGGCGCCAGCCCTGAGCCCATTATATATGGACCCTCATGTAAAATACAACTTTAAAATCATTTGTGGCTCTTCCCATCTCCTACTTTAACATGCTGTTTGACTGAATCTCAGTTTTCTCATCCGTACAAAGGAGAAACTACTACCTCTATCTCTGAGGCAAGGAGAAAATCAAAGAAGATTAAAAACAACTTTGATAAAGTGTAATGATGTATACTTTTGTTGCAGTGGTCCTAGTTTTAGCCCAAGCTGGAGGATTAGACCAGCCTAGAGTTGATTTGCTTGGGGCCAGAGGAGCGGCACTGGAAGGAGATGGAAAAAACTGAGACCATCCCCAGGAGGATGAATAGGGAGGAATGCCCAAGGCCCAATGGTGCCCCCAGCCTAGGCCCTCAAATTTGTCTGACTCTACAGGTGGAAAGCAGCTCAGGGTAGCCTGTGAGACAAGAGTTGGGCACTTTGGTGCCCAGGCGGAACCAACACGGGAAAGAGAGGCACTCTCCGCTCAGCACAAGGAACGTGGCCTCTTTGGCCCTGGACAATTCAGCTTGGAGAGGTGGCAAAGCGCTCCAGCGGACACCGGCACACTCTTCCCCCAGGTCGCGGGCGAGGCCTTTGGGGCATCACTGGGCAGCTGGAATTTGCCCCAGCAGACACCCTGAGTGGGTTTCCTGAAATGCTGGGTGAGTCTTCAAGGCGGGAAGAGATCTCAACATGTGGATCGTTATCGTTAGTATCGTGGTCCCTTTCTGTCCGCACGTGTGCATGAGACCCGGGTCGCACTCGGTCAGACTCCCGCGGCGCAGATACCCCGGGGTGGAAGGGGCCTCGGAGAGCCCTTAGCGGAGAAACACCAGGCCACCGTCGGCCGGGAATGCACCTGACTGCTTCCTCCAAGGGCACACCGCTACACAAGCACCACGAAACAATGAAACACAGCGACAGCAGCGCACAACTTCCGGCCGAGGAGGCGGCGCGACTCCATTGCTTCCGGCCGCGCCGCGCCTGCGCACTCGGTGCCGGCCGTCGGCTGGAGGAATGTACCAACCGTGGGCGGGGGGCGCTGACGCGGGGGTCTCTGTGGGCTGTTGCTCCCGGAAGTAGCCGTTTGCGCGTCCCGGGAGCCGGAGCCCCACCGCCGGCTCTGCTGGACCCGTGGCCCCTCCCGGGGGCTCCGGCCGCTGCGCGTGGGTGCGTGGGTGGGCGCCAGCGGGTGCGGTGGGAGTCGCGCCCGGCTTCTTGGCTTCGCCTGCCGGGTCGCGGCGGGCGGCCGGCCCCATCCCGGACCCCTGGCCTTAGGTAAGCGGGGGAGGGGGTGTTGTAGGTCCCACTTCACAGACGTGGACGCTGAGACTTTGGGGGTGGGGGAGGCTTTACTGACCTGCCCCGCGCGTCGGACGGCCCAGGTGTCCCCCTCCGAGGCCAGTCTCCCTGTCGCAGTGCCCCGCGCCTAAAACACGCCAGGTGAGGCCAGAGTATAGTGGACGGCGGCTCATATCCATCACTCACTCTGTGCCAAGAACTGCCCTTAACCACACTGTTATATACCTACATTCACTTATTCCTTAACAAGCCTGTGAGGCGGGTGCTATTATCCCTGTGGTATAGACGAGGAAACCGAAGCACGCTAGCGCACTGATCACAACTGGTGGGTAGCAGCCAGGATTTAAACCCACATAGACTGGCTCTGGACTTCATGCTCTCAATGCATTATGGAAAGCAGCCTCCCAGAAAAGAGCTCAAGTATGTAGTTTAAAACAGATCTCATTTTATGTGCCTTTTGCATAATGTGAAATCTAATGATGCATGATTATTAATATCTCTCTTAGGGTTTGCAAGTAGCCAAATTTACTTTTGGGACAAAACCCAAAAATATATAGTGGTTTGCTCTACTCTTTTCCTTACACACATTTCTCTCCTCTTCCTCACCACCTTTTCATCTCCTCGCAGGTGGGTTGGTCAGGGGATGAGAAGCCGAGGACTTGAGGGCCCAGCAAGTGCTTTGAAATCCCCTGGGGTCTGGGGCTAGATAGACACTGCCCCCCCACCCGACTCCCCCAGTGCAAAAGCTGAGCGAATGGAGGGCCAGTGGGACTGGGCAGAGTGAGAACTTAGAGAAAGGGCCAGCACAGCTATTGAATGCCCAGAGTGGGCTGAGCTCTGCACAGCGCCCTGGGGTGAGGCAGGCACAAGAGAAATAGAAAAGTGGCCCCTTTCCTTCTGGACAGGCACGTGGAGGAGGGACTGGTAAGACGAGTTGGAAGGAAGTCCTAACCCGTGGAGCCAACACACATGTAAGTGCTGAGGCACCTCCCGTCTCAGGCTCAACCAGCAGGTTGGCCTCTACGAATATATGGCTTCCCCTTGGGAACCTGTAGGCTCCTGGGCATAAACTGCCTCAGTTCCTTGCACTACCCACACCCAAGGACTTGCCTGCCACCACAGCCATCCTTCCTTCTTTGCTATGTCAGAAAAAATAGATTCTTTCTTGTCTCCCAGGATAAACCCTCCCACCACCTGTGCCCTGGATCCCTCTCCCTCAGAAAGCTGCTGCCGTCAATTCCCCCTCTCTCCTGTATATTTAGCCTTACCTCTTCCCACTGCATTCCTTTTCTCTGTTTAGAGACATAGCCAAGCCTTTTCCCTCCCTTGCCAAAGCATGACCGTCCCTTCCCCACCCCACCTCGGACATCGCAAGTACCTGCATCCCCCACTTCTCATTGCACAGTCCCGGGCTCCACTGTCTTCATCTACTAAAGTGACTTTTGACCCAGTCTGTCCTTTCTGGAAAGTCTTCCCTCAGCTTCCCTAACATCACTTTAGGTTTTTCTGTGTCTCTCTCCTTTGCTTGTCAGTCATCTTTGAAGTCGGCACATCCTCTACCCTCCTCACGTTGTCAGCGTTGCCTGGGCAACCACCCTCCACTCTTCTCCCTCTGGCATCTCCCCTCAGTTTCTACGGAGACTTTTACATGCATCTGTATTTTTAGCTCAGACCTCTATCCCCTGACCCATGTGTCTGTCACATCTACTTCTGAAGATTTGTTCTAGAAAAACCTCGAAATCAGTATATCCAAAACTGAACTGTATTAGTAAATGGGATCACTAGAGAGTCCCTCTGTATCCCTTCCTCCTCCACGTCTCAACTCAAGCATAATCTGTCTCCTGAGTAGCTCTCCTGACTGTTCCCGCCCCCCTACTCCCTCTGCCATTACCCGCTCCAGCCTCCTCCCCTCCTGCTGCCCAGTGCTGTGCCTGCCTCATGCAGCCCTGCTGTGGCGCCCTTGCAAGAGTCTGTCTTGTAGTTGTCCTCAAGTGTGTGTGTGTGGTCTGTTGTGAAACGTGTCACAAGTAACTTCTTACTAATAACCAAAGTACTGGAATTTGTGGATGATTTTCTTTTTAAATTTTCCATTTTAGGTTCATTTAGATTCCAGGTTGGCTCTCCACAGCATCAGCCTCGCTGTCATCCTCATGCTTCGGTGGGAGAGAGAGGGTTGGCATCACTGTCGGTGCCATGACTGCACAAGGTCCCAGCTCTACCTGGGGAGTCTGTCAGGGGTTAAGGATCCTGAAGGAGTAGCCTAAGGTAAGCAACCCCTTACAAGATAGAATCTAAACGCCACTGTCCGAGACTCGATTCATCTCCAGGTCTGCCCGAGGCCCAGCCTCCACAGAATCAACACCACTTGTCTTGCTCTAGCCTCGCCGTGAGCCCGTTTCCGTCCTGAGCCCTGAGTGCCAGCTGGGCAGTTACTCTCCTACATTCGTATCCTTAGGGCGCAGTGCTGGCTCCTGGTAGATATTTGATGACTTTTTGTTAAATGGTGGAGTAGATCAAGAGTGTCTGCTGAATACAGACCTAGTGATGGCACAAGGCTGAGTGGGGAAGAGAACAGGCTAGTGCACTGGCATAGACTAGTAGGTCCTCAGATGAAGGCTCTGGGGTGTGACCCAGGATACAGTCCTAACACAGACTTTTTCCCTTTCTCCATCATCATCAGTGAGGGCAGGTAGGACGCGGGCCTGTTTTCAGTACCCAGTTCTGTGTTCTCAGGAGCCATGAAGCCTACAGAATCCTTCTGGAGGCCTAGAGCCAGCCGTGGTCTTCCACATTGCCCCCCTGGGTTTCCATTTCTTCAGTTATAAACAGGAGCTGAGGTAAGTCCCCTCCAGTCCTGACATTCTAGAGCGCTTCTGGCACCAGGACACTGTCTCACGTTTCATTGGCACCTTTATCCAGCCCCTACACGGCACCACTTCCTGTGGGCTTCAGACATTTAACTTAGTGGTAGCTGCCTGAGGTCTCGAGGGACGGGCTCGAGGTGACTGCCTCTTGTTCCTTCTGAGGCTCTTCCGGCTGGAAGGGGTGTCTCAGCATCACGGGGCCCACGCTCCTCTGTGGGCAGAGGCCCCTTCAGTTGCTGCTCTTATTTCCATGTGTTTCTCTTCTGACTTCTTCATGTCTCTTTTCTTTTGAGAGCCCTGAATTTGACCTAATCTCCAGGAAGATGAAGCAGGGGAAAGGAGTTAAGGATTATGCCTAGGTCTGGGGTCTGAGCCTCTGGGTGAACAGACGTCCTGTTTACCGAGACCGAGTTGACTGTAGGAAGAGCAGGTGAGGAAGCCGGAGAGAGAGTTCTGAGCCAGAGAGAGGCTGGGCAGTGGTCGGTATGTAAATGTAGTCCCCGTCAGGGAGAAGGTGAAACTGCCCTGGGAGAGTGTAGAAGAAGGGACCTGGGAAGGAACCCTGGGAAACGTCATTGAGGGACAGGCAGAGGGAGAAGGACTAGAACCGAGGCTGAAAAGGAGTTGCAGGTGAGAGGAGAACCAAGAAAATGTGGGGTCCCAGGGCCACGGGAAAACAGCATTCCAACTGCAGGGTGTGGGCAGGTGCTTTGGATGTTGCAGAAAAGTCCCCTGGAGGTGGTGCCAAGGCGATTGTTGGGGACCTTGGCAAGGAGCCAAGGTTGTGGGGGGCGGAGCTAGAGAGGAGTGGGGTTTGAGGGGAGTGGGAGGTGGGAAAGTATAAACAGCCCTACCAGAGTTTCTCTGTGATGGAGAAAGGAGAGGGAGAGGACACTAGGGCCCTGGCTTTAGGATCCACTCCATCCTGTGTTCCCTGGTGGAGGCTGACTTCTAGAGAAGGAATTTCAAAGAATCTAAGCAAGGCCCCTGGCTTAGGCAGCCTCAGGCTGCATTACTCCCCGAACGCTGAGAGACAGGACCAGCAGGCTCTGCTCCCTCCTGGCCTGTTCTCTTCCAGGGCATCTGCTTGGCCCCTTGGCGAAGTCAGTCCCCTTCCTGGGGTCACCCAGCCTGCGCCGTGCTCCTTCACGCCCTGCACCGTGGCTCTGGTTTTATGTGCACGAGTCTTTATTCACGTCTGTCTCTCCCGCCAGCCTGGAGGCCTCGTGTACACAGGGCCTCACCTGCTTTATACTGTAGCCACAACACAGGAAAATTGCCAAGTGCCTACTAGGTTCCCAGTAAACGTTGAAAAAAAAAAGAGAAACATCAGTTAGTTTGGCCAAGAAGATGGACACAGAAATCACTGGTGTGCAGAGGGCTGTGGGGCTTTGGTGAGGGCTGCTCTGGTCGGTCTAACTCTCGAGGAATCAGGCTTAGCCAAAGAGGTTAAGGTCTTGAGAGTTTTGTCCTGGGGCTGATTCATATTATCTCACTATACCTTCCATCGTCTCTCTCCTCTACCCTCTGGGCCTGGCCTTCTCCCTCAGTGGTTCCCAAAGTTGAGTAGGGCAGCTGAGAGCCATTCTTTTCATCTTGCTTTGCAGCCTGGGCCCATCTTCTCATTTCTCCAAGTTCCTAAGCATGTTGGAAGTAGAAAAAGTCAAAAAGCCCCCCAAGAGACATACACCCTCAGGATCAGTGGGGCAGGAGCCCCCTGTGTGTGCTGACACCACCATGACCAGACTCAAGAGCCCCGCTGCTACCCTGGCTTCTCCCAGCCCTGAGTTCAACACCAGGGCTACCAACACCTTTCATGGACTTGGCTGGGGTGCCAGGGGGCGCCTGCCAGAGACTGAGGTCAAACTTGAGTTTGTAGATGTAGACGAGAAGGCCGGCAGTGGCCACAGGAAGATCAGACCCTCCGGCTCCCAAAAGGGGAGTGAGAGGGATCTGTTCCTGCAAAGGAAGAAGCCCTCCCTCCTCCCCAATAGCTTGTTGGTCCCTTCACCTGTCCAAGTTTTCCTGGAAGAGCAGGAAGAAGGTGCCCTGGGCCTATGTGTCTGTAGTGAGAAGAGAAGAGTGTGTTCCCTGGGGAGGCTTGGTCTTCACCCAGCTGCCTCCAGTGCAAAGTGCCAGCCCAGCCCTGGGCAGAATAAGCCAAAGGGAGACTCTAGACTCTGTGGTCTTAAGTCTGTGCTTCAGCAGAAGCCCGTTGTGCAGCCTGAGAAGAAGGTGTCCAAGCAGAAGGCACGTGGACGGAGAGAGGAGCAGGAGCCCGCAGGAAAGAAGTGGAGGGATCCAGTGCTCAGCTCTGGCCAGGCCCCTGCTGCCCCAGCACTGGCCCAGGCGACCAGGCTGGACAGGTCAGAGGTGGGCCAGCCTAGTGTGAATGAGGAGGCAAGGCGAGCTGACATCCTCATAGCCTGTCTGGCCAGAGAAGTGCGGCGCCTCAAGAAGTGGAAGAAGAGACATTTGCTTCCTGGTGTGGGGGAGAAGTCACCCTTGCTGAGCCTCCAGAAGCCGCCCTGCTTGAAGAAGCTGGTCAGAACTATCAAAGCAGAGACCAAGGGCTGGGCTTCTCCCAGGTGTTCCCCGGGCCCTCTGGACACCACAGGTCAGAAGCCCACGTTGGATGTCAGACGGTTCTTTACCGTCGACTGCAAGAACATCTGCCACATCACCTGCACTCTGTGTCACGCCAGCATCAGACAGGGCAGAATTAAGGGGCAGTCCCAAACCTCAGGCCTGGTCTGTCACCTGGTGAGTAAGCATGGGCTAGAGAGGGAGAGAAGGCCGGCTGCAGCCAGCCCCGGGGAGAAGCAGGCAGGAGTAGGGGAGAAGCAGAAGGGCCTGCCCGCAGGTGCCACCAGCCTGGCCTGTGAGGGAGTCCCGTCCCCAAGATGCTGTCCAGATGCCTCACCTTTGGAAGACAGTGACAGTGATGGGCAGCCGACCCCCGGCAGGCCTGAGCAGCTGTTACTGGATCCACCACTCTTGCCTGCTCCCACCAAAGATGAACCTGCTGCTCCTCCCATGGCAATCGGGGAGGACAGGGGTGGCATATATGCCCCCAACCAGCCCCGAGCACAGGCCTGGAACCACAGCATCGCCGAGTTGCTCTGCAGCCTGGCACTGCCACTCTCCTTTGTTTCGTCCCCACCCTTCAGAAAGTTTATGGCGCAGGTGGATCCTTGCTACCATCTGCCATCTCCAGCCTTTTTCTCTGATAAAGCCTTGCCTCTGCTCCACGAGGCGATGGGCGAGCAGGTGTGTCAGGAGATGCAGTGGGCTGAGGGCAGCCGCCTCCACCTCACTGTGTCCAGGGCAGCCCAGGTCTCAGTCGTGGACTATGTAGCCATCACTGCCCACTGGGGGGTGATACAGCCGGGGAGCCGGCAGGTGGTGGTGGGGAATCTGAGGAAGCGAGCCGTGCTCTGGGTCCGAGGCCTGCCCCTGGAGAGCACTCTGGAGGACCGGCAGCGGGAGCTGCGGGAGCAGGTCAGCCTGTGGCTTGGCCGTGGCTCCCTGCAGCCAGGCTTCCTGGTCTCGAGCGGCTGCCCCAGCCTGGAGCAGACAGTCAGGATGGAGGGCTACACCCAGGTCCCTTGCTTTGCCCACTGCCTCGACTCCCTGGTGAAAAACTTTCTGTGTCACCATCATAGCGTCCAGATCATCCTGGGCACAGCCAGGGCCATCTGCAGCCATTTCCAAGGCTCTGCAGAGGCCCGGCGGCTCCTCACCCAGCTGCAGCGGCAGTGTGGCCTCCCGGCCCAGCAGCCCTTTTGGGAGCTCTCTGACCACTGGGTCTCCACCTACCGCTTGATGGAGTGGCTAGTGGAGCAGCAGCAGCCACTGCAAGAGTATGAGGAGAAACACCAGCTGGGGAAGGCCGAGACGGCCCTGTCGGCCATGTTTTGGAGCCTGACGGTCAGTCTGGTTAAGCTCCTGCAGCCTTTCCAGGTGGTGTTCCGGGAGGCAGGCGCGGCGCAGACATCTTTAAGCCAGGTGCTGCCCCAGCTGCGCTACCTGAATATTTTCCTGGAGCAGGTGCATGGGCACTTCAAGGAGCAGAGCGGCGGGGAGATGGGTGCAGCCGTCCGGCTGGCCGAGGGCTTGGCCCTGCAGCTCTCCACAGACTGCCAGCTCAATGAGCTCTTCCATCGTGAGGAGTTTGTGCTGGCGACCCTCCTGGACCCCCGCTTCAAGGGGAAGATAGAGGCCATCCTGCCTGTGGGGGCCGACATTGACCACTGGAAGCAAGTTCTTGTGTACAAGGTGAAGGAGATTATGGTGTCTGAATACTCCTTGCCTCCCTCCCCCTCTCTGCAGAGCCCCAGGGCTGTGCCTGTGGACGCTACCCTGAATGGCGGAGTAGCTCAGAGCCCCGGGGCCGAGGGGAAGGGCCTGAAGGAGCCTGTGCAGAGAGGCAGCAGCTCTGGGTCTCTGCTCCTGGGCCAGAGGGAGAAGAGCTTGCTGGAGCAGCTGGAAAGCGTAGGGCTGCTGGCGTCCAAGAGGAGCGGAGCCTCGCTCGTCACTGAGAACCACCTGGCCAGCGTCATCGTCAAGAAGTACCTGCGTGAGAACGAGACAGTTGGCACCCAGGAGGACCCACTGGCTTACTGGGAGAAGAAGCGGGAGGTCTGGCCAGCCCTGGCAAGACTGGCCACTGTCTATCTGTCCTGCCCTGCCACGGGCGCCTTCTCTGGAAGTGTCTTTGCCTCCCTGGACAGCCCTGCCATCGTGGAGCACAGCTCTCCTCTCTCGGTGGAGACGGTTGAGCATCTCCTCTTCTTGAAGAGCAACCTGGAGAATTTCCCCAACTACACCCCCCCACCCCTTATCTTCCCTGGTGGAGACCTGGCTGAAGGGGAGCAGGCCAGTGAGTCTGACCTCATGGTCTGATGCCCTCAAAATCTGCCTGTAGGAACTCTGTAGTAGATAAAAGGAGAGAGCTCAGTGTTGCGTCCTAGGCCATTAGACAGGGACAGCCAGAATCTTAAACCTATTTGGAAAGAATGGGGATGGTTTCTCAGTTCTTGTCAGATTGCCATTTGTTTTTCAGAGAGATGTCATTTTCCATCCCCCCATTGCTTAATTTATCTCTAGCGGTGTGTGCATAGAAAAGGTTTCCTCGGTTCCTAAGTGACTGTGAGTTGTACTTTGTAGTTTTATAAATGGTAATGCTCTTTTGAAATATTGGTGGGTATTAAGGGCCCTACGTGCAGCTCGTTCATGTGGGTCAAGGGGTCCTTGCCTGGAGAAGTCTGCTTCTCAAAAAGTGGCCGGGGGGCCTGCCCGGTGGCGCAAGTGGTTAAGTGCGCGCTCTCCGCTGCGGTGGCCCCGGGGTTCGCCGGTTCGGATCCCGGGCGCGCACCAACGCACCGCTTGTCAAGCCATGCTGTGGCGGTGTCCCACATAAAGTAGAGGAAGATGGGCACGGATGTTAGCCCAGGGCCAGTCTTCCTCAGCAAAAAAGAGGAGGATTGGCATTGGATGTTAGCTCAGGGCTGGTCCTCCTCACAAAAAAAAAAAAAAAAAAAAAGTGGCCGGGACAAGGGGAGGCGTGGGTGCTGGCAGGTGGGCTATGTACTCAGCCTCCTATAGCCTGGGTGAGCCATGGAAGCTCTTTCAGGAATTGCTGTCACTGTAGAAAGAAAGAAATCCTAAGGGAGAGCAGCCATGGTGAGAGGGAAGTGTGTGTGTGTGTGTGTGTGTGTGCGCGCGCACAGACCCCAGTCTTCTTGGGGTCTGGACTTTCCCATAGATCCCAGAGTGGCTGGAGAACCTGACTGATGGGACTGCCCAGCCAACGAGGGTGAGTGCGCTGAGGCGAGCTGGGACATGCAGTCCCTAGATGTTGTTCTCACCTGTAGTTGTTTCCAGACTGCTGGAAACCTTGGAGTTTCTTCCTTTCTATGGTGAAAGCTTATGGTCAGAGCTTCTATGGCTTCCCCAGGCTCTAGGGGGCCGAGTATTTATCCCACCTACAGTGCCCTCCTTGTCCCTGGCCACTTTTAAAGGGCAAGTCCGCTACCTGGAAGTGACAGAGGATGTGTATCAGACCCACCAGTAACCCAGAGTTCCTCCAGGGCAGAGTGCAGGACCGGACCCGAGGGCGTGGGATCAGGGACTGGTGGGTCAGGTGGGAGAAGGAGCGGGAGAGGAGCAGTGTTTGGGGCAGGCCCGTCACACCCCACAGACGTGAGTCTAGCTCTCCCGAGGTGCAGGGTCACCAGGAGAGGTGGCTCTGAGGCGGCAGGTTGGTAGAGGCAGGGCAAGGCAGGCCCCAGGCCTAACTTGTACTTGGGCCCTGGCCAGGGGGTGAGCCTAGAGGCCTGTCCCCCTGCCCCCCCAGAGGGGTCGTCTGTCCTGTGTCACTGTGACCAGTTCACTACAGGACATTTGGAAGTTACTGAGAATGTAAGGAAGCAGGAAAAATTAGCCATAATCCTTCCACTCAGCCTCTGTTAATGCTTTGACATATTTTCTTTTTTTTATCTTGAGTTGACACTCTCTGTACTATTTACTGTGCTGTATTTTCATTTTAACAGTGTAGTAATAACTGTGTGTTCTTAAATAAAGCTTTGTAGAGATCTGTGTAATGGTTGGAGGAGCATGATTTGAATGAGAGTGTGGCCCCCGAATTGGGGCTCAGGTGGGCTCTCCTCCGCCACTGCTGTGGGAGGGGATGTGTTCACGGGAGTGAGGCCTGTCTGGGGAGGAGCGGGACAGCGAGCACTCCAGCGTCCGCACTCTAGGTCGGTCAAGTGCATTTGGGTGGTAAGGTCAGGGCTGCCCTGCACCCAGCCCTGGACCTCTTCTTGCCTCCCGTCCTTAAATTGTACATGCAGCTCGAACTTTAATGAGGATCACCTGAGAGTGTCTTAAAAAACACGGTGTGCTGTACGGTGTCCTATGCCTCCCTCCCAAGTTCTGATTCAGTAGGTTGGGTGGGGGGCAGGAATGTGATGTGCCCTACAGCTGCCCTAGGGGCGTCCTGCTGGTGTCTGCTGCCATCCCTTGAGCTGTTAGGAGAGGCACCGTCCCCTTGCTCTTGGCGTCACTGAGCTGGCTCTCCAGTGTTTGTGGAGAGGGGGAGGCCTGGAATGGAGGGGCAGCGGGGTGGGGACACAAGAGAAGGATGGAGAGGAGTGAAAGGAAGAGGACTATCTGGAAGCTTGCCGTCTGAGCAGTGGTTCTCAGCGGGGGCAGTTTTGTGCCCCAGGGGACATTTGGCAGTGTCTGGAGACATTTTTGGTTGTCTCAGTTTGTGGGGGGATTGCTACTGTCCTCTTGTGAGTAGAAAACAGGGATGCTGCTAAACATCCTACAGTGCACAGGACAGTCCCCACAGCAAAGACTGTCCACCTCCACTGTCAACAGTGCCAGGCTTGAAGGAGCCTGCTCTAGGCTGGGGATGGAAGGGATGGGGCAGAGGTAGGGTCTGCAGTTCACCGAAGCGGCCAGGTGACCGTCCACCTGAGGCTGCTCTGGGTTGAACCGTTTCTCCCCTAGACTTAGCCCTGCCATTCCCGGGCTGACTCACGGGCATCATTTTCTGGCTCATTTCCTGCGTAGGTAAACTGAGACTCGGAAAGGTTGGCTGAGCAGGGGAAGATGGGCCTCCTCAGGAGATCTGAGTGTCAGCTGTGTCTTGGTCACAGTCTCATCCACATAACTGAGTCCTTTTCACAGACTCACGTTATGGGCCAAGGCCTCTGTTTGCTCATTTCCATAGCAGGACCAGCATGACTCCTATTTTTCAGAGAGGAATGTTCAAGTGGTTGGATGTAGATGAGCCATTCTCCCATCGTGCAGGGCCTGCTGTGCTGCCCGTCTGTGCGTTAGCTGGGTTTGCAGTGGTGGGTGGGCACTGGTTGGCCTCGGTTCTGCCCAGAGCTGCCTGCTGAGGCATGTGGAGTTGAGGTAGGACGCTGGAGCAGAGCAGAGGTCATGGACTCCCGGGAGAATCAGTGTTTCCACCGAGACTGTGAGGTGCTGTCCTTCATCTAACCGTCTGACTGCTGGAGGGCCCGAGGGCTGGACCCAGGCCGGAGTGCTGCAGGGTCATGGGTCTCCTGCCAGGCAGGACTTGGGAGCGTGGAAGGCCTGATTTCCAGTTAATGTGATCTTTCTGCGCCGCTGTTTCGTCTTCTGCGAAAAGGGCTCCTCCCAGCTGTAACGTGGGGAGCGCATATGCAGTTCTCCCTCCTTTCCCTCTGTCTGCCACTCCCCTCCTTCCCTCCCTTCACAGCCACCATCTCCATCTACACAGTCACTGACCCCATTCCACAGGGCGTCACTCCCGAACCCTCATGGTCCGGCTGTGGCCTCACGAAGCCTGAGACTGCCCCACCCGGCGGCCGCGTCTTGTCTGAGTGCAGTGGGGTGTTTAACCGTGTTGTTCGCGCTCTCCTTGAAAGCCTCACATTTTCTTCTCCCTCTGGCTGCTCATCAGTACCCTTTATTCAGCCTCATAAATGTTGGTGTTCTCCCTGCTTTAGCCCTTGACTTCTCTTTTTCACTGTACCCCAGGGGTTCCTGACCACTTTCACTCCCAAAATAGTGTGTGGCTGGGAAGGATATGCATATTCGTGAAGAGAGGCCTACAGATGCTTAAAGAGGTCTGTGTCCCCAAAAAGGCCTGCCCGGGGTGCTGCATGCTCTTGCTGGGCACCTCTCTGCAGAGGATGCCCAATCCCTTCAGCCTAGAGCTTCCTTGGTCCTCCTAGGACCGATGCCACACAGTCACCTCACACTGGTGGCTTCTTGCCCCCCAGCCTGTCCCGTCTACATCCCACATGTTTGAGAAGGGAGCCCCTGCATCCAGTCATGTGGCCGGATCCCTGAAGTTGGTCTAGACTCTCCTCCCTCCCCTCCATCACTCATTGCCCTCGGTGGGATCCTTGTCTCGAATGCTTTTATGGCGGGTTTCTAGTGCCCAGTGCCCCTCGTGCACCCCCACCCTGTGGGCTAGAGCAGCTTTAAGCAGATGCAGAGGTGAGTGCATCATCACTGCTCGCAGACCCCAGCAGATCCCATTTGCATAGAGTAAGCCAGACTTCTTAGGAGATGCGTCTGATCACTTTTGGAAAGGAGTGAGGTAGAAATGAAGAACGAGCTAGAGGGCTGCAGCCTAGAAGGGAGAGAGCTAAGTAAAGACGTGGGGACCCCCTGCTCAGAGATGGGGTGGAGAAGGATGGGGAGAGGGGGTCAGATCTGTTAGCAGCCTCCGCAAGTCCCTGGTGGGGGTGTGGGAGGAACTCTGGGCTGGTTTCCCTGGAGAGGGGGAAATAAAAAGTGGCGTTGATTATGTAAATACAGACTTGGGACTCTGGAGGCCCAGGTCTGTAAACAGCAGGAGTGAATGGTCTCATGGTTCTTTGCAGGCGTCACCCTGCCTCGCCTGGGCCTGGCCAGAGTCTGCAGGCTTGGGAAGCTGCCACTTGGAGCAGAGGTCCCTTGTTGTTTTCCTCCCTGCCGAAACCTTGAGCCCTGTGTGGGTGGCCTCGTCCCTCATGCTCCACAGTCTGGCACTAGCACTTGGGCTGATGCTGCCCCACAGCCACTGGGGACTGGAAAGGCCCCTCCCTCCCCTGCCTTTCTGGAGCCAACTTAGGTGCCACCCTGCCCCTCCCTCCAGGACAGCTGCCTTGACTGCCCCCCCGCCCACCACTGGCCCTCTTTGGAAATGTCATGTTTGCAAGTGGGACTGTGCTGCCTGGCAGATGGTGACTGATGCTGTGCTGCTGGTGCCAGACTCAAAAGTGAGTTTTGGTGGGTGGGGGCGGGGGGTGGAGAGCAATGGCGTGGGGACCAGCAGTGCTGCCACTTGCCGCCTGCCCCCCAGGCTCACCGTCCCCTCTCCCGCTCAACCTCAGTTTCCTCGTCTGAGACTGAAGCCAGAGCCCTCAGGCCTGCAGCTGCAACCAGAGGTCACAAGTTGGCCCACGGAAGCCGAACCCAAGCCGGAAACCAGGTTGAATTCGTTGCTACCGTTAAAGTTTGAGTCAAGGACATTTTGAGAGAATAAAGTAAGGGGCCGTGCGCTGTATGTGTGTGTGTGTGTGTGTGTGTTTGCATATGCACACCTGTCCAAGGAAGGAAACGAGATTGGTGATGAGGGTGACCTACTATCTATTCAAAAATAAATGTATTTAAAAAGAAACACCTCAAAATTAGAAAGGCTAGATCATGAACAGTTACCCAAAAAGGAAAATAATGAGATTTTGCCCCCCAGTGCAGATTTGGAAAATGGGAAGAATTGGTAACACTGGGCCTGAATTCCGTCCAGCACGGCCATAACCACCAGAGCCGAGTCGGGGACCCCCACAGGTGAGGGCCTGTGCCTGGCCCACCTCACTCAGAGGGGCTCTTCCCTCCTGCACCTTGGACTTGGTCCTCAGGTCTTGCCACGTCATCTGGGTTTCTGGCCCTGGAGGTACAAGCTGGGTGGTACTTGGTGCTGTCACCTGCTGCAGGGTCACAGGTGCTCAGGAGAGGCCTGCTTACTGTTTAATTGTCTCTCCTTAGGGACCTTCTGGCCCTTGAGTGGGGGTGTCGGAAACAGGCCTCTGGCACTGGCCCAAGCAGAGTCGATGGTGCCTTCTTTGGGGTGAGCAGCCAGCTGACTCCCAGTGGCACCTGCATCCCTGTGACGGAACTGCCAGGGCCCAGGCCGCCTGGACCGACTTCATCTCATGGAGCCTCAGGAGGAGAAGCCAGGAGAGGCTGATGGGGTGCGTATCACGCCCCAGCTGCTCAAGGCGCGCTCGGGCGAGTTTGCCCTGGAGTCCATCCTGCTGCTGAAGCTGCGGGGCCTGGGGCTGGTGGACCTGGGCTGCCTGGGCGAATGCCTGGGCCTCGAGTGGCTGGACCTGTCGGGCAACGAGCTCACCCAGCTGGGCCCACTGGCCTCCTTGCGCCAGCTGACTGTGCTCAACGTTGCCAATAATCGGCTGACAGGGCTGGAGCCACTGGCCGCCTGTGAGAACCTGCAGAGTCTCAATGCCGCGGGCAACCTGCTGGCCACCCCTGGCCAGCTGCAGTGTCTGGCCGGACTGCAGGACCTCGAGTACCTGCGCCTCTGGGACCCTCTGGCCCGGCTCAGCAACCCGCTGTGTGCCAGCCCCTCCTACCGGGCTGTGGTCCGAGAGCTGCTGCCGGGCCTGAAGGTCGTCGATGGCGAGCGTGTGACAGGGCATGGCAGTGAGTTCTACCAGCTGTGCCAGGACCTGGACAGCTCCTTGCACCGCAGCTCCAGTCCGGGCCCCAGAGCCACAGAGGCACAGCCCTGGGTGGAGCCCGGGTACTGGGAGTCCTGGCCTACCCGGAGCAGCTCCATCCTGGAGGAGGCCTGCCGGCAGTTCCAGGACACGCTGCAGGAGTGCCACGACCTGGACCGCCAGGCCAGCGACAGCCTGGCCCAGGCCCAGCAGGCGCTCAGCCCTGCGGGCACCACCTCGTCCTTCATCTTCTGAATGCGCCCCATGGCTGTGGCCAGAGACAGCCTGGCACGTGACTGTGGGGTTGGCACTTCGTGGTCTAGCTGCCCATGTGTCCCCTCCTGCCTCTGCACTTGCCTTCACGTTTCATCATGATGGTCACTGGCCCTGCAAACTGGGCTCTTCCTGAATCTCTGTGCCTAAGAGCAGCCCCTCCCTCCCTCTCCTACCTCAAGGAAAATCCACACCCTCCCCCCACATACTTCAGGGACACACCTCTTGAGTGGCCTGTAGCAGGTGGAAGGGCCCTCCAGCAGCAGCTGGCATAGTGTGAAGCTGTCCTGCCACCTACACTGGGCGCCTGGGAGGAGGCCCCGTGCTGAGCCCGTGTCCAGATCTGCTCCACTCCTGGCTGCTGGGGCCTGAGATTTAGTGGAAGAAAGTTGCTTCTTCCTAAGGCTAAAGGTGAGAAGGGCAGGATGGCGTGCCTCCTGTCGCAGCTGGCCCTGGGAGAGGACGTGGGCAGGGCATGGAAGCTGGCTTTACCCACCTTCAAAATTTGCCTGTCCAAATGACCCTGTGCTGTGGGCCCCCTAGTCCTGTGTCTCCCTGGGGCCTTCACTGCCCATTCTCCCCACGCTAATTCCTATTAAATATTTCTGTTTTAATTTGCATCACTGCCTGTCATTTCAAACAGGTGTGCTTGGTTTTGCCAAGCGTGAGCTCCTGAAAGCAAGACGAGGCCCCTGCCGCCTCTGGTCTCTCCTGCAGGAAGGAGGAGGCGCACACAGGAGGCCCCCTGCCCTCTGCTTTCTTGGTGTAGACAGGTAGTATCCTGCACCCCCTGGGGGCCTTACCTCCTCCCTGTAAGACAGGAGCATCCCAGGCTTTCCTCTACTGGGGCCTCCTACCAGTTGAGCTGAGGGGAGGGAGGGGATGCAAGGGGAGGAGAGAACACAGCTGGGAGAGCAGTTTTATTATCTCGGGATAATGGGAGTGTCCTCCCTGGGCATAGGGAAGGGAGGGCAGTCTTTCACTGGTTATCTCCCACAGCTGTCCGGGAAGCCAGATGAAATTCTACAGGAGAGGGGGAAAAAAAACAAAATTTGGATGTGAGGGAGGCTGTTTTGGTCCCAGTCCGGCTCTCTTCCCAGTCTCCGAATCCCTCTCCTCCCTGCCTCCTGCAGCCCCAGCAGCCGAGCATCAGCCCACTCTTCCATCCCACACCCCGCCCCAGGGCTGTCCCTGCTGCACTCTGCCCTCCCTCCCTCCTGGCCACCTACCAGTGGGGCCTCAGCTGGGGGGCAGGGCCCTGGAGAAGGCAAACTGTCCAGGGAAGTAGTAGCTGCGGTGGTCCTCGCTGGCCCGCTCCACCCTGCTGCACTGAGCCTCCAGGTGCTCCTCAAGCTCCTGCCAGCACCAGCAGCTGCTCAGCCCGGCAGGCGGTGCTGGGGGGCTGGGGGACGGGGGGTGCCCCCCAGGGAGGGTGCTGGCATCCTCTGCCATGCCCATCTCTACATCCTCCATGGAATATCCGGGCCGGGCCCAGAGCTCCTCCTCACCCTCCCCACCCCCTCTTCACCCCCCTCTCCACTCTCCACCTCCTTCACCCTCCTCACTCCTCCGTCGTCCTCCGGGCTTCTGCCTCTGACCTCTCCCATGGGCCCAGCTTCTATGCATCTTACCAGGCCCCTCCCTAACCTCTCAGCCTCCTTCTCTGCCCACTCTTACCAGTTGAACCTGTGTCTCTATGGGGCAGTGGACCATCCGGCCCAGGACTTTATCCTTCGAGTCCAGCTTGATGCAGGCCAGGCATTTCCGCTTCCTCTGGGGAGGGGGGCATGGGGTGAGGGGAGGTATGCGGCTCCACGAGGGTGGAAGCTGGGGGCTGCCTGCTGTGGGGATCGTAGCCCCTGACAGGCTCTAGAGCAGAGGGGCAGGCAGACCTGCAGGCCAGCTGGTTTCAGGTGCACCGCTGGGACTGGGAAATTTTAGAAGTCAACCATCCTGCGGTTTTCCAACTATGGAACTTTGTGAGTGAGTGAGTGAGTGAGTGAGTGAGTGAGTGAGTGAGTGAGTGAGTGAGTGTGTGTGTGTGTGTGTGTGTGTGTGTGTGTGTGTGTGTGTGTGTGTGTGTGTAGGCAGGACGTCTCCCCCAGATGGGTCCACCCTACCTGACTTCCACCAGAGGCACTGCTGTCATCTGTTATATTTACTTGCATTTGTAAGATCTGATTTGAACGCAAGGGTCCTGGCATAAAAGTCTGGAAAACCGCAGTGTAATCTAGTCCATCCTTTAACAGATGGAGGGAACTGAGGCCTTCAAAGAACCTAGGAAGTCACAGGGCTGGTGCTGGGCAAAGCCGGAGCTAGAGTCCAGATCGGATGATTGTACTCCCGGCCCACGGATCTCCCCCATGGCAGCGATTTTGTCTCCAAAGTGGCTGATTATAGTCAAGCCCTATTATGAATCAGCCCAGGCTGGGCCATTTCCACTTAAAGACTCACAGAAAACGGGGAATTCACCAGGCCTGGGTTGGGGGCCAGACCAACCCGACCGTGGGCTTCTCCCAGTGACCTGAGGCCTGAGAGAGGAACTCTGATGGAAGGTGGACCCACTCTGAAGAACATACGTCCTCTGAGGAGTAGCCCGACCCTGCCCCCTCCTGCCTGTCCAGGCCCCCAGCCCAGCCACAACCATCACAAGCACAGGCTCAGACTGAGCCAGGTCAACTTCTAGGGTGGCTGCTCCACAGTGGGGTCTCCAACTTCAGAGCTTCTCGCTGGATCTCCACCCAAACCCCGATTGTATAGACTCACACAAGCACGTGCGCATCACACAGATGCCTTCACTCACCCCGTGGGCCTTGACTCGGCACTCAGCTTTCTTCCAGTCCTTCTTCTGGCAGCTCGTCTGCTGGAGTTTAAATTCCAGCCTCACAAAGGTCCCCGCTGGGAAGAGCTGCCGACAGACAGACAGACAGACAGAGGAAGGCCAGCGGCCAGCTGAGCGGGCAGAGCAGTTCCTGGATGTGACCTGTCCCACCTCCCCACAGTGAGACAGCACATCCAAGGAGGTGGCTGGGGTGGTGCCCTTTCTCCGGAGAGCTTGGTGTTCACAGAGTCCAAGCACGTTTGCTCCTGCTTCCTGGGACGGTGCCGGTCTCCTGGCGTGCGGCCCTAACCCCCTCCCCTCCCTGGACGGTGCCACTAACCTTTTCCGTGGCACTGTCCACACTGGTCTCCTGGAAGGCCCACTGAACACGTGGGTGCTTGTGGAATTCCTCCAGGGCCACTTGCAGGCCCTGGTGCTGGGCCGCCGTGAGCTCGGCCCTGCTGAAGTGTGCCGTGCCCAGCCACAGGGCCAGCGGGATCAGCAGCCGCCACATGGCTTCACCTCAGTCACGCTGGCCCTGCAAAGGGTGTATCTGTGACCCTCATCTCTTCATGCCAGCCAGAGGAGCCACCAACTCCCTGGCCCCGCGGCTGAGGTGGGGGGCATGCCGAGCAGAGCTCTGGTGAGGTGGGGGGCATGCCGAGCAGAGCTCCAGGAGGGGGAGGGACGGGATGTGCCCCTTTGCGGAGATTCCCTGGAAACCCCCTGATCCTCCTGCTCCTCCCCACCCTGCCCCCCACTGCTCCCTGGGGAGGTGCTGAGTCCTTTTGTCCTCGGGCCAACAGTTTGGGAAGCAGTCCTGTGGCCCGCTGTGGCCCTTCCCCCCTTTTCTGGCCCACTCTGTCTCTCCACTGCAACTCTGACCCCTCTCCTGCCCGCTGCCCCCAGAGCCCCTGCTTCCCCCCACCTACGCCTCTCCAGGTCGCCATCCTCTGCCCACTCTAAGTGTGTGGCTCCTGGGGTCCCAGCCCCTGGCCCTCACCCCCCCGCCCCCCAGGCTAACTTGGGGAGGGGGAGGAGCAGGGCATAGGAAGAGCTGGAGGCTGAATATTTTGGGGAGGACGTAAACACGTGGGAGGGGCCCAGAGCCGGGTGGGAAGGAGGAAGGATGCTTAACCCTCCCTGCCTGGGGCTGCCAGTCCAAATGGGGGGTATCGCCTCCGTCCCACCCGTGGCTGCTTCTTCAGGCAGACTCTCCCTCCTTTGCCTTTTTTCTGGGGCATTCCCCACCACCCATCTCCCAGCCCCTGTGATCCTGTCCCCCAAGCCATGACTGGGTCCCCTGAGGGGTGGACCCTCCCCCTCCCCGAGGACTCTGTCTGTACGGGTGGTCTTAGATGTGGAAACTGAGGCCCCCTCAGTGAAGGCAACCAGGGTGTTGCCTCAGCGAGGGCTCACAGACAAGGTGACCGGTTTCGCCCTTGGCCCGCCCCCTCTCCTCCTGTCCAGCTGCCTCCCCCCCTCACCTCCTTTCCGGAGCCCCGGGGTCTCTCCTACACTCCTCGCGGCTGACTCTTGGCCAGGCCGTCAGCCTCTTCCCGGTCCCCCCGCCCCGCCACCGCCCCTCCCTCCCGCGGGTCGGCCCCCATCTCCTCCCACTCCCACCTCCTGGGCCCCCTCCAGCTTCCCGCACAGCTGAGGCTCCTCCCCACCCAGTCAGGACCGGCCTCCTGGGCAGCATGCCTCCAGCGCCTTCCCTCCCTATCCTAGCCGCCTGCCTCGCCTGGGGCCAGCCTCCTGACCCTGACCCTGACCCTGGCTGAGCCGCCCTCCCTTCCCACCTCCCGCTGGCCCAGGAGCCCAAGCATTCGGCACCCGCCGGGCCTCTTCTCCGTGGGCTATGGGATTGTCCTCCCTGCCACTCTGCCTCCAGGGAGGGCTGCCCTTTTCTTAGGCCCTTCCCGGGTGACCAGTACCCAGCGGCCCCCGGACACTCATTTCAGGAAATTCTTCCCAGAAGTACAGACATCCTCGAATCAGATGAGATCTTGAGGAGTCTCCCTCCCCCTGCCCCCCAAGCCCTAAAGCCACGCTGAGAAGGAAGGCATCTCCTTTGGAGATGACCGTGGTGTCAGACAACTTATTTCACCAGCAGACATGTCCATTTCTCTAGTTCCAGGCCCAATGCTAATGACCTGAAATAGAGGATCTCATTTAACTTCCCAAAGCCCCAGAACTTCTGCTTTTTCCTCTGCAAGGTGGGGACCAGAACCCTACCTGAGGGGTTGTTCTGAGGATTAAATGAGCCGATCTGTGGAAGGTGACTGATGGCCCAGTGTTTGGCATAAGGTTGTTTTCCCTTCTCTATTCACCTCTGCCAGGATTCTCCAGGAGGCTGAGAGCTTGCTTTGCAATGTGCTCTGGG